ATTTGTACATCATTCTCAAAACATTTTCTCTCCACTTAAACCCCCGACATTAGGCCCTCATTTTTCCCCTCCCTCCCCCCTCCCTTGTGTGCCCTTGATAGTTTATAAATTGGTATTTTGTCATCTCTTGCCCTGAGAATTCAAATTTTGACAGTTGTTGGAAAGGCAATGTAGGACACATGTGGCATGGCACGTAACCCAGGCATGGCACGTAACCCAGGCATGGCACGTAACCCAGGCAAGGCCCAGATAGCAGCCCTTTTAGTCAACATGGCTATCTACCGGGAGTCCTAACCCTTCCCGTCAAATGGCAATCATCTGCTCTTCTGAACTTCTCCGATTTTGACACTGCAGACGGAGAATCTGGATGCAGTTCAATTTGGCCTATGTTTTATCCGGTGCCTACTCTGTGCCCCTCTTCATACGGACACGACATATTCGGGGTGGAATCAGTAAGCCAACACCATGGCTAGAAAGTGGAGAGATTCCAGGCAGCAGGAACGGGAGACAGACACAGGCTGCTAAGAGTGGGCTGTGGTCACAAACAACGAGCCCAGTTTGCTGCTCTGTGTCACAGAGCACAGAATGCAGTCTGATAAAGTAGGCAGCTGATGTTTGAAAGGTTGTGTTTAGTAACGTTCCTTTTAGTACTAGCAGCAGGTGGTGCTTCAATAGCACTGTGTGTGTGTGTGTGTGTGTGTGTGTGTGTGTGTGTACACATACATACTGCTGTGGGAGCTGGGGCCACTGGTGAGACCTCGCGGATTTTACGCTCTGGACAGTGCGGAGTTGAAAAGGCTGTCTGAGTCTAGAATGCAGCAGACGAAGAAGAGCGGTTCTGTGGGCAGGCCCGGCCTTTCAGCAGGAGGCGTCATCATCAGACCTTCTGAACATGGTGTTTAGCACCAGGGTGCACTGTGTAAGCAACTGGTGCGGTGGGAACTGTGGCGATGCCATTGCTGAATCCAGTTCCATTGGCCTCGCAGGCGATAGTCATCTTTTTGACATTGCAAAATTTTAAAAAACAAATGCCATGAAGTCCTTCGCTTCATTAAACACAACACAAATAGGCTACGGGTGGTCAGGCCTGAGAGAGATTGCAGGTAGGCCAAGTCATTATTAAAGACAATTCAACAGGGCAGGCAGCTCCTGTTTATGAGTGGATGTGACCAGCTCATTTATCCAAGGACTGAAGGCCGGAGTGATACCTGCACAACTGGCATTTGTTTTCCCTAAGACTGAATTGTGGCAACCAAAGAGCTGGTCTCAGCTATAACTGATGCCTCTCAGGTGGGAGAAGGGAGCTATAGGAGTGCAGGCCTGTGACTGACACCACAGAAGGTCGATGCAATAGTCATCTAAGAGACAGGAATGGGAGGGATGCTCTTAGCCACTGCTAAGAGCACTCTTAGCCTTCTCCACCTCTGAACCCAGTAGCAGGCTTTACAAGGAGAAAGGCCCATGGGTGCAGTGGCTACCAGGCTCTTTGACATCCCCTGACCTCCAGCTAATGTGTTGTCCAAACTGCTCCTTGAGATGACTATGTCCCCGTCCCCCAGAGACCTCACCGTTAGGAACCGGTGCTGGAGGCCCTGTCAGCTATGTGCACACAGAACGCTGGGTCCCTGCAGTGCGCACTTGCTAGGGTGTAGCACCACCCCAGGGGGGTTCCTAGGCTATACTCCTCACAGGAGCAAATTGTGATGGGTGAACTCCCCCCTGAGCAGCTGGTGCTGGCAGGTTCACACCACTGACTTTCTGGTTAGCAGCCGAGCACTTAACCCTTGCGACACCAGGGATCCTCTGGGGCCTCGTTCTCCCATTCTGCCTATGAGGAAATGGAGGTATCAACAAACTGATGAGCAAGAGTTTGTAAATCTCCTGGAATCCAGGTTTCTGGGGTCCATGGAAGTGGAGTCCCCCACTCAGGCCACTGCCCTAAAGAGCTGGTCTCAGCTCTCACGGATGATCTTTTGAACCCGAAGCAGACGAGTCTCCTGAAAGCGACATTTAAGTCAAACAAGACTTACTCAGCAGTCCGTATGTTTTGCTTCGGACATTTTATCCTGTGGACGATTCCGTCCAGGTTCAGGAAACTAAGTCTAGTGGACTAGAAGGTGTGTTTTATGGCAAACAGCCCGCTCTCCCTGCAGCCCCATAGTTATTTGACAGCACAGCATTCCTAAGAAATTTCCAGACACCCAAGTAGCAAAGGGATGAGCCAACTGCCGTTCATTTATGTGGGTTAAATTTTTGAGCATTTCCAGATCCCCCAAATATCCTATTGAGTCATATTCTACCACACACAGAACCTACACTAACAGGAACACCGTATGTTCACAGATGCAGTGCAGAGCCCAGGAGGCATGATGCTGAGATGCTGCGCAAGACTGCAGGGGGAGGAGCTTGGCCATGTCATTTTCACTCCTGAGTGCACGCGACCTCACTAAGGGCTCCCTACAAAATAAAAACGCTGATGGCTACTTTCAATTTTTGCCTTTTTTCTCTCCCTTAAAAACAAAACTTCCTTTCTGATTTTGTTTAGCACAAAGAGGGACTAATGTAGGTCTTTCATAAAAGCAAGATGGCACAAAGTAAATTTTCAAACCGTGAAGGACACCTGTATATAAACACGGCTCTGGTCCTTTTTCCACTGCACTCTCCACCACACAGGGATAGCATAAGGAGTTTGGGAATTTCTCTCATATTGAGAACGCTTTCATCTTGAGATGCAGTCCGTTCATACGACCCTTCTAGCCATAATATATCTTGTGTCCTGGATTGTAATCCTACTCTATGCCTGTGGCTAGAATCCCATTGTGGAGGGAGTTCTGTAGTATGATAACAGACATGATTAAAGTGGGGCTAAGTCCCGACCTTAGTTAAAGGTGGGAACCAAGACATACCCTTTGTTTGCTTGGGAGTATCTTTCAACTCGGCCCTTTACTAGAGGGTATGACTTAAGACATCATCTTTCCTTTTCCTTGGGGTATGGTGGCTAAAAGACTATGGGAAACAGAAGGATTTCTCCCAAGTTGTCTCCCTCAAATATATGCCAGACTTAGCTGCTTGTGAATGACTATACATTTGGAGGTCATCAGGAGGAGATTAGGGGTCATTCTCCCTAAGAGTTATCAGCCATCTAGAGCAAGCAGACACCACTGTTTATCCCACAACAAGTAGGGCCCACTCCCTTCTGATAAGGATAGTAGTTGTCTGTTTCCTTGTAGGAGACACCAAAGAGGTCAAACCTGCCCAAGGATGACCAAGGTTAGGTTGCCATCGTGAATCTAGGGTCTGCCCATCATGTCACATGTATACCCCTAAACCTTTCCATTCCTATGGGCACACCCCTAGCTCATCCCCTTCCTGTCACACTTATGCCTATCACACATCACCTTCCTACGTTGTATAGGCCTATTGTACTGCCCCTTCCTGTGACATGTGGTTACCTGTAATTATGTCCCCCTGAGATATAATCCTTGGTTAGCAATAAAGTGGGGGCTCTCCTGCTCTCGCACCCGAGGCTCTCTCCTGCTCTCGTGGCCAGATTCCCCCCACGAGGACCACCATGCGGGGCTGAGGTGAGCATGCTACCATGAATTGTGTCTGACTCTACCATTCCAATCTCTCCTCTAACTCTCATGCTCTCTATGACTTTACTATAATCTTTACTTATTATCGCTGTACAATTGCGCCTACCGGACCTGTGATGATTTGTTGGGGACTCTCCTCTCCCCACAAAAGACAAAAGTCATACCTCCATGAAAGCCATTCCTCTGTGTCTAAGAATTGTCCTGGACACAGAGGGAAAGACTTGGATCACTGGAAGAGCACGTACCAGATCTCTGTCTGAAGTGCTGAGGCTGAGACCAGAGGCACCAGAGGCTGTGGTAAGGAGAACGTAGGACAAAGCAAGAGGAGCCACGAGGAAATTATAGGACTATGAGACGGAGCGACAGGCTGGCTTCCTAGTCCATGGAGACAAAGGCCAAGGGAGCGACAACAAGGCTGGGAGACTGAGGATTGGAGAGAGAGTTGGCTGCTGACTGAGGGGAAGTGGTGCTGTGGACCAGTAAGATGATCTCTATTGTTTGCTGATCTTGACGGTTAACTTCCTAAGAGGTTCCCTTATTTGGGAGTATTAGCTGGGAAATCTGTGCGGCCATGGCAATGAATTATCCAACCCAGCATAGAAGCAGCATGCCATGAGAGAAATGGGGACAGTCGGAATAGGGTCATGGACAATGGGGGTGGGGTGGGGGCTGTGAAGGCATGTGGGACTCCTGCCTCGTGGCAACAGGGAAGCCAGAGAGGGTCAGATAGGGCCCCTGCACTGTTTAATGCACATCCCTAGTCAGAAGTGTCAGCCAATTTGAAAATAATATATTAAACACGTTTCAATCCGTTTCTATTATTGGTATGATATAATTTTTGTCTCCACACTGATTCAGATACTGTCTTGGGTTTGAGTCTCTCCATTTTCAAGGTCTTGCTGGGTGACCCCTGGCAAAGACTTTTAACGTCTTGTTAAAAAAAACTGTAAAAATGAGGCCAGAATCAAACCTCACAGCTTTGATATGAGGATTAAATAAGATCATGTGGGTAATCCTTGTAGCATGGAGCTGACAGAGAGGACGCGCTGAAGGTCACAGAACTATACTAACAACCACAGCTCATCACCATCAACTCCAATCCTACTGGGGCGACCCTGTAGAAGTGAGGGGGACTAGAATTCCAGCCCTACCTCAAAGGCTCAATCCTTACATTCTGTCCTAAAGGCTGCTTTCTAAGAATTCCACTGGCTGGTGGAGCAGAGTAGTAGTATCACTGTTCACCTTCCCAGGCTTGGTTGATAATCATGGCCCATCTCATAAATATTCATGAGCTCACAGACTCTTTTCTGAGGTTCTGCATCAACAGCAGGAGCGATTCAGACAGCAGGAGTCCGGTGAGCAACTGTGAGGAGAGAGTACTTGAGAAAAAGCTCTGGTGCTTACCACGTCACGCTTTTCCACTTCAAACCAGCGGGAAATTCCAGGTAGACTCTGCACCAAGTATAAGGACGTTCTCTCCACCCAGAGACTCTACAAAACACAAAACAGATTAAGTCCCCGGATTTCTAGGTACTGAGCTATGACTAATGTTTGCCATTCTGCTTCATCCGGTTTGGAGCATTTTGCTCCCTCGTTCACTGGTATTCCTTCTCTCCCTGCAGCAATCCCTGTGCACTCAAGAAGCCATCCCAGTGAGAGCGCAGGTCAAGTTTATGCTGATAATGCCGTTGTTTATCTCCTCTGACTTTTCTATGTGGCATAAACCATCTACTTCAGACAGCAACCTTCAAAATACAAAAACTGGCCATCACGTTACTTATTTCTCTAAATGCCACATTCTGCTGGAAACTCCGTCTACTTGTCAAGGTCTAGGCATTCTTATCTGGATGGGGTAACAGCCTGAGTTCAACAGAGGATTAAAATGACAAGCTCTTGGGAGAGAAAAGGACTTCCGCCCTCCTGCAGCGCCATCTTTCTGCTGACAGAGTCGTCTTGGTGAGGATGAGGATACGGACTACCTGACTGAAGCCCTGGGATTTTCAATTGCTTCATACGCACGTGCAAGCTGGACACTGACAATGGAAGACCAGGGGAACATGTCTGCGTTTGAGTTACGGTGCTGGCAAAGCATGCTGAAAATACCATGGGCTATCAAAAGAACACACGGATGGGGGGGGGGGGGAGAAGTCCAGCCAGCATGCTCCTTAGAAGCAACAAGGCAAGACGTCGTCTCATGTACTTTGAACACATTGTCAGGGGAGCCCTGTCCCTGGAGAAGGACCTCATGGCTTGGTAAAGTGGAAGGGCAGTGAAAACAGTGGAAGGTGCTCAAGGAAACAGACAGACACAGTGGCGGAAACAAGGGCTCAAAGGGAACAACAATTATGAGGATGGCAGAGGACAGGGCAGTGTTTCATTGTTGTACAAAGGGGCACCATGAACTGGAACCAATTCCATGGGACCTAGCAACCACCACCAGGAAAGCCAAGCACTAGAACTCTTGACTTTGTCTCTATTGGTATATCTCACCACCTGAGCATCCCAAGTTCCTCCTCTTCCAGGTACTCTGCCCAGTTCGTGAAAGGTATACCTCATGCCCACCTGGACTGCTGTAGTCCAGGGGGGTCTATATTTCAGGGCTTTAACTAACTGAGACAGGCCTTCTTAGCATCAGCACACATGAAATCACAGCTGTCTGGGGAGAGGTGCTGTTGACAACGTGTTTCTTTTGTCAGCCAGTTTCTACGTCTATGACTCGTTTTTTCTTACTTGAATAAGGTGTATTGCCGAGAGGATAACACACTTTCCCAAATTCCTGAAAATTGTGACATTAATTCATCATCACCAAAAAACGGCAAGGCTTTCTGTGTGCCAGCAACAATGAACCTGGAGGAATCGTGCAGAGTGCCCGGGAGAGGAGGACCTGGTGGTGCTCAGGTGGCGAAGGAAGGGATCAGACTGAGAAAGACACAGGGCTGAGAGAGCAGTGGCCCAGGTGCTGTGGACTGGGGGAAGCAGGCAAGCATGCCATTTGTTGGACGAGGCCAGCGCTTCTCTGAGGAGGTGCACACGAGCTGCATGCTGCAGAGTGAGTAGGAGTCTGACAGGAGGAGAGTGGGGGAAGCACTGTAGGTAGCTGGAACCAGTGGAAACAGTAACTCTGAGCGGTTTCTAAGAGAGCATGAAGCGTTGGAGAGAGGAGCTTGGCGTTGCTGGAGCTCAGAGGCAGGGTGGGCGAGTGGGTTGTAGAGGGGCCAGGCTTCTGGAGGGGTTGCAAGAAGCAGGATTCCAAGGGCTGGGGGCACAGAAATAAGGAGGACAGATTGATTTCATTTCCTTTTTTTTGGGGGGGGGCACAATTGTTCTACTATTGATGTCTAGAAGGCCATGAGGCAATATAATGCAAATGAGGGAGTCCAAAGATACCGGTTCCAGTGTAGGCCCTACTCGTAATTTTTAGAAGAGGCCTTTGTTCAAGGTAACTGCAGGACGTCAGTAAATCTCTGACTAGGAAATTCACTGGAAGCTCTTTAAAAGAAAATTACGTACCGTATGTACTCGTGCATAAGCCGAGTTTTGTAGCACATTTTTAATGCAGTCTTTGTGATAAAATTAGGTGCCTCGGCTGATATTCGGGTTGGCTTATACGTGAGTATATAGGCATATCATTAACTAACTAGATCTTTAGTTGGATTTGGAAGAGCAAAAAGAAGATATGACTCTAGAAAGGACTAAAAAATGATCGTGAGCCTTTTCAGTAACACCTACTGGTCCCGTCCAGGGACCTCCTGGCCTTGATGGCACAGTCAAACTCCCTTCCTGCCGAAGAGATCGCTCTGAATTCAGTCCCACCAAAAATGGTCACCACTTCCTGTTTTGGTTTCCTTGCTGTGAATAATTCTTGCACGCACTTCTGGGAACTGACACTTAGCAGAGCTGACAGGTGAGGTAACATTATACGACCGTTACCGATAAAGCGTTGGTAGAGAATATCTGAGATGAAAGAAGCTAAGCCAATTCCCAATAATAACTCCCAATAATAACTGTGCTTTGCATTCTTTGTTTAGGGAGTATCATCTTAACCTTGCTATGTCACTATTGTCCCAGAAAGGGCGGACTGCAAGTTATCAGCTGTACATGCGTTTTCCTCCCCCAGTGGGGCTATGAGAAATTGGACCCCTTCTGCTTGAGGAAGCTCTGACCTAGCAAAGCATAATGTAGCCACTGAGGGCAGAGAAGGAAATTTATGACAAAGAATGCAAGGTTTACGTTGATCCTAGGTCCTTAAAAAAAAATCCTAATTACTGCACTTCTCACAAGAATAAGCAGCAGATGAGAGCACAGAACTTTCCCACCATCCTAGCACAGTCCTTCCGATGGCTCTCAGAAATCCTCCGTCGCCTGGTCATTGACTGTCCTTTCTCACTGCGCTCCAGGGTGTCCGAGAATTCATACTGTTCGAGTCCCACATTGGTTTGACATGAATGAGAGAACGCGTTTGGATCAGGAGCATTCAAAGACAGATCTGAGAACCACAGGCATTAGAACTGACTGGGTCCCTGCCCAAACCATGGAGTCAGCATTTCTGGGCTGGCGCTTTGAGTTCCACTTACATAGAAATCACCCCATGTCACGCTGATATATTGCAGTCTAAGAACTATGAGACAAAATTATTTCGATTCTATACGCCCCTCTGCTTCTACCACTTTTTGTTATTATGAGTAGATATTTACTAGGGGCCATCTCAAGGAATGCATAATCTGTCTCTGAAGATAGGGTGCATTAAGAATTTTACGGTACCTTGAATTCGTTTTCCTTATCTTTAGTCCCTTTGTGAAAGGGTCTGTCATAGCGGAATTTCCAGATATGATTCACTTTATAGAAACTTTTGATGTTGTCCGGAACACCCTCTCTCTGTAGGACCTCTTGGCTCTCGGGGATGGGAGTCACGGCATAGATCTGCAAATCTAGGATTACAGAGTTAAGGAGGGAATCCAAGTTGAGAAGCCTGCAGATGCCTGGCTTGTGGCGCCCCTGGCCGAGAAGAGGAGGAGTAACAGTCTGGTGCTCCTACTGGGGTCAAGGTCATTTTAAAACAGTGCCAAGAACTTGAACGAAGAACTCAGTTCATAGTCAATCATTCCTCAAACTTGAAGTAATAACTCAGTTCATGGTAAATCATTCTGTAAGCTAGAGCTATTTCTAGGCAGGTAATTCTGATAAAATATCAAGTTGAAATTGACCCATAAATTTACATATCATTTATTTATGTGTAGGGTGATGGTGGTGGTGGTGGAAGATGGGGATGGCTTGGATATAATTTGATTAATTATAATCCTTAATCATGAGGGTTCTGGCTATCTTTAATTAAAAATAATTTATAGATTTATAAAAATATCAGTATAAAATTTATAAAATAATTTATACAAATTATTTTAAACTATTTTAATTAAGGGTAATTAAATTATTTTAAAAATAATTAGAAATAAGTTCATTTAAAATATCTTTACATTTTATCTTGAAAAATTATAATTTATGATTCATGTAACTACCACCAAAGACAGAGACTAAAACATTGAAAATAACTTTGAATAACTTTTTCATTTACCTGTGTGGCCCTCTCTCTTGTACTGCCATATTTTCAGCCAGTGCTTTCTTAAATCTCGTATCAAGAAAGCTAATGCTTACTTCTAGTTAGTTTTTCATAAAATTACATTGGGAGGAATGTCACATTTACGTGTATACTCCTATTTGCCTCCTTCTCATCTTATCACAGAAGGATACTAAAATAGTACTCCTTGTATACATTCCTGCTTCTCCTGCATTTTGGCTTCTGCTCTGAAATGATATTCATAATCATTAGTGGGGATGTCAGAATTTCTCTAAGCCTCTGATCTTCCTGGGACAGGCAGCAGGGATGCAGAAAGAAGTGTGCGGTGATTTCCTTTGTCCTCCAACACCTGAGTCATGTCAGGTAAGTTGCTCCCATTACAGAATGCAAGTCGTCCTTCCGGAGCAATTATTAAACGTGTGCAGGATGGCCTGGCTAAGAGCCCTCAAAAGATACTTGCAGACCTCTTCTCTTCCTCGTTCTACAATAAAAATTTCAAGGCAAGAAGAATATGCACCACTAAATGCAATGCTATTACTTCCATGAAGTAGTTTTCACAGGCAATGATGGAGAAAAGTGATTCTGGGATAGATCAGTAAAATGGACTTTAAAAGCAATGTTGATATACAGAATACTTTTAATTAAAGGAAAAAAGAAATTTAACAGAATTTTTTAAGGCTTTCTTTTTAACTAACACCCGGATAAGAAACAGAGTAATTAACTTCTGTTCAGGGGGAGCTAAATTAAAACTGAGACGAGGAGAATGAGCGAAAGTTTGAACGTGGCTATTTACAAGGTGCCAGTAGCTGGAATAAACAAATAAGATTACTCTGCGGTTAATGGCCTGTGCCATCTAACGGGAAAGCAGCCTTTCTCAGGAGGAGAGGATACACTGAGCTTCTGCCTGGAAGATGGTTTCATCAGGCTGGTTGGCATGCTGCATGGCGATGGCATGGGGGAATTCGTTCAGCATTCTCTGTTGAAAGGCCTCCAGCCTCTCGTAGTCATGCCCACGACACACAAACTCCTTATTCTGGAGACAAAACGAAAAAGAGATCAATACAGAGCACTGGCAGTAATTGGTCACGTAATAATACACCATAAGAATAAAAACAATATACTCGAAAAGTTTGAGAATTTTGACTAAACATTAAAAATGTAAAGTCAAGACCACGAGTTTCACTATTGCGTTTGCATTTGGTGCAACCCTATGTACAGGGGAAGGAAACTCTGCCCAGTTCTGAGCCATTGTAGCAATTGAGCCTACTGTTGCTCTCGCCATGTCGGTCCCCAGGGACTGGTCCCTCTTGCTAGCATGTCCAAAGTACGGGAGCCCAAGTGTTGTCATTCTGATTTCCAAGGAGCATCAGGATCTACTTCTTCGGACGTCTTTGGGCTGGCCGTCCATCGTATGTTCAATGTTCTTTTCCAACACTATCACTCAAATGCGGGAACTCTGTGGCATTCTTTCTTACTCCTTGTCCAACTTTCACAGGCATGTGAAGCAAATGCAAACACATGGCTTGGGTCAGGTATACCTTAGTTCTCAAAGGCAAAGTAAAGGCATCCACTGGGCTTCAATACTTTACAGAGGTTTTGTACAACAGATAAGCCCAGTGCAGTAATACATCATTTGATTTCTTGACTGCTGCTTCCATAAGCCTTCCTTGGATCCAAGTAAAATCATATCCTTGACCACTTCATTCGTATCCCTTTATCACGATGCTGCTTATTGGTCCAAGTGTGAGTATTTTTGTTTTGTGTTGAAGTGTAATCTATACTGATTACTTAAGACTTTCTATAAGTGCTTTAAGCCTCCTTTGCTTCAGCAAGGCTGAGTCACCTGTTTATTGCAGGTTGTTAGCGAGTCTTTCCTCAATCCTGATATCCTACTCTTCTTCATACAGTGCAGTTTCTTAGATTATTTGCTCAGCATACAGATAGACTAAGTGTGTTTGAAGGATACAACGCTTTCCTGGAAGGATGCATACCTTGCCTGATTTTATGCCCCACACTATGGCCTTGTTCCCATCAAGTGACTGCTTCTTGGTGTATGTACATATTTCCCAAAGAGCAAAACTAAGACTTCTAGAATTCCTGTTCTTTTCAATGTTATTTATAATTTGTTATGATTTACACACTTGAATGTCTTTGCAACATAAATGAAATATAGGCAAACATCTTTCTTCTATTCTCTACTTTCAGTCAAGATCCATCTGCTATCAACAATGATCTCTTATTCTATGTCCTCTTCGGAATCTAGCTTTTCATTTCTGGCAATTCTCTGTTGACGTACTGCTACAATCATTTTTGAATTATTTTCTGCAAAATCTTACTTGCATGTGATAGTTTTATAACTTCTCCATTTCATAAATCCCTTTAAGAAATAATAAATTTGGTTGATATCTTCCTTCCTTCTTATTACATGAATCCCAGAACGAATATCTGAGTGACATGGTAAATGGAACCTTTTTAGACAATGGTTTCATGAAACATGGGTTTGAAAAAACAGAGTAGTTAATCATATAGGAATTCAATAGTATTAATCATTTTGAAATAAAGCAATTTTTAGATATGGTATTTGAACTGCCCAGAAATAAAATGGAATAAAACATTCCATCATTTTTTTTAAATTAACACCTTTACATTTAGTAGTGTTGCATGATCAGTGCCACTATTTGATTTCAGAACACTTTTCTCACCTCAAGCAAAAACTTTGCATCTGATATCAGTCACTTCCCTTCCCCTTTCCTTCTAAGTTCCGGAAACCATTACTAAGTCTGTCTTTTTTAAAAAAATCATTTTATTGGGGGCTCGTACAGCTCTTATCACAAGCTATCCATCCATCCATTGTGTCAAGCACATTTGTACATTTGTTGCCATCATCATTCTCAAAACATTTTCTTTCTACTTGAGACCTTGGTATCAGCTCCTCATTTATTTCTCCTCCCTCATGAACCTTTGATAATTTATAATTTATTACCATTTTTCATGTCTTACACTGTCTGATCGATGTCTCCCTTCACCCACTTTTCTGTTGTGCGTCCCCCTGGGAGAGGGGTTGTGGTAGTCACCTAATCTGGTGTTAATTTAATGATTAAGAGTGTAGGGGTGGAGTCTAAACTGTCAATCTGGAGATAGCCAATGAGACTTCTGTGTGGGCCTGGTCTTCTCCTGAGAATTCTGGGACTTCCTCCTTAGAGGTGGACTAACACAGGGTTATATGTAGATCATTGTGATGGGTTCCCCCTTTTTCCACCCCCACCCCCCATTGCTACACTCATTATTGTTCCTGAGGGGTTTATCTGTCCTGGATTCCCTGTGTTTCCAGCTCTTATTTGTACCCATGTACATTCTATGGTCTAGCCAGATTTGTAAGGTAGAATTGGGATTATGATAGTGGGGAGGTTGGAAGCATTAAGGAACTAGAGGAAACTTGTTTGTTTCATCGGTGCTATACTGCACCCTGACTGGCTCATCTCTTCCTTGTGACTCTTCTGTAAGGGGATGTCCAAATGTCTATAGATGGGCTTTGGGTCTCCACTCTGCACTCCCCTTCATCCACATTGATATGATTTTTTGTTCTGGGTCTTTGATGCCTGATACCTGATTTCATCGACACCTCATGATCACACAGGCTGGTGTGTTTCTTTCATATGGGCTTTGTTGCTTCTCAGTTAGATGGTCATTTATTTATCTTCAAGTCTTTAAGTTCCCAGATGCTATATCTTTTGATAGCCATGCACCATCAGCTTTCTTCACCACATTTACTTATGCACCCATTTTGTCTTCAGCAATCTTGTCAGGAAGGTGAACATCATGGAATGCCAGGTTATTAGAACAAAGTATTCTTGTGTTGAGGGAGTACTTGAGTAGAGGCCCAATGATTGTCAGCTTCCTTAATCCCTAACATATATGTACATAGATCTATTTCTCGATCATTATATATAAGTATATTTATATATGTACATATAAACATAAATATATTTATGTAAATATATTTACATATGTACATAAGATCTCTATAAGTGCCCTTTGCCTCCTAGTTCTTTCCTCTATTTCTTTTTACTTTATTCTTGTTCCACTATCATGTTCAGCCTTCATTTGGGTTTCAGTAATTCCTCTCGGTTACATTGCCCTTGATCAAGCCCTACCAGGTATCCTATGCCCTCCTCGCCATCGATTGTAGATCACTTGTTCCCTTGTCCCTGGGTTTATTAACACCCACTTCCTTCAACACCACCCCACCTCCTCCTCTCCTGGAACCATCAGTCCCATTGTTTTCTCCCCCCCATTGTTTACCCTGCCTATCTTATCTAGATAGACATGCAGAGACAATAATAAGCACAAAAACAAGACAGCAAAACAAACCACTAAAGAAATAAAACAAACAAAACAACATAAATAACCAACAACAAAAAAAGAAAAGCCTATAAATAGTCCAAGGTTTCTTTGTTGACCTTTCAGAGTTTTTTCCGGTCAAGTCTGATGGGGTGTCACACCCTGGCCCCAAAGTCTATTTTTGGTATTCCCCGGGGACTTCATTGCTTTGCTCCCCTTGCTGCTCTGTTGCACGCCCTTAGCATTTCACCCCAGTGTGGTGGGGCCAAATCGGGCACAATTCCCACACTGTGCCTTCAGTGTTGTCCTTGGAAGCACCGTGTTGTCCCTCACTGGTTCAGTGAGGGATGTCGTGTCTCTCTGGTGGGGCTGGCCCTATGGTCTTCTCTGTGCATTGGCTGCTCTGAGCAGGCAAATCATCCTCGGGGGTTTGGTGGGCCAAGATATGTTCCACTCTTTCTTCTTCCCTCTTCGTTTGCTCCTGTGTGCTCTGATCAGAAGTGCCCCTCTCCCTGAGCTGTAGCTTCAGTGCTGTCCTCTGAAGTGCATTCTTCTGGTGGGAGGGGTACTCGTTCTGTCTTTAAGGATTGCTTTAATCTGGACATTTTGAGACTCGCTTGTCTCACATAATATGATGTTTTTAATGTTCATTTATGCTATAGGAAGTAGCAGTAGTTCATTCTTTTACTGCTGAATAATATCCCATTGCAGGGAATACCCTGTTTTCTTCAGACCTCTGCTGCAGAGTTGGGTTGTTTCCACGTTGGGGTCACTGTGGGCATGTTTGTCATGTGTGCGGGCTACGTGGGTGTGGGAACATGTTTCACATTCTCATGGGAGTGGAATTGCTGGGTCTACAAAGGGGAAAAAACTATCTAGATCATTCAATTATATAAATGTACTAATTTATTTGACCTTTAGAATTATTTTTAAAGTGGATGGGGCAATGGAAGGTATTGGCTATGCTTTGATCCTAACCAGCATCTACTTTCCTAAAATAGCTGTAACCTCACATGTCTCAAGAGTGCAGTGCCCTTTCTTCCATTTAGAAGGAAAAGCCAAAAAAAAAAAAAA